AGCTGCTAAGCTAAAGGTTAGCTGCTAAGCTAAAGGTTAGCTGCTAAGCTAAAGGTTAGCTGCTAAGCTAAAGGTTAGCTGCTCACAATCACCATAAATCTATGACCTAAAGGTTTGACTCGATCAAAACCAGGCTGCCCTCACAACCGAAGAAGAAAGTATCCAAAAATATTTCTGTTTTACCTGTATTATTATTTTATATACTTAATTTTGGTTTTTGACAAAGAAACAATGCTTATTCTTTTTCTAAGCAAACACATCCCAGTGCTTTTCCTGATAAAAGCGCGCTGGGCTCTACTTCATTATTACTTCAGCTCTCATGTAGTCTCATTGTGGTACTGTCAAGAGGTGCTGAAAGGAGGAAAAAGAAGAGGTCACCAGGAAATCAGACATAGCGAGAGAGAGAAAAAAAAAGGTGAGGAAAAGAGCAGAGTACACACAAGAGTATGTGTACTCATTTCAAACTATTTCATGTATGTTTGCACACATTCCTGTATGACATGTCTGATTACTGAAGAAAAGAGAAACAAGCCTGATCCTTAAAACAAGCTGGCAAAAGCCCATCAAACATCTGTGCCCAGGGGTCTGTAACTCCATGATCAAGGCATGACTCAAAATAACTAATGATTATCACCAATCCTAGTTTGATAACTTCTGTCCTTAATTAGCTTTGCCATTTATCATTACAATAATGATATTAGTGAACACAGTGTTTATTCAATAATGCAACTAAAAAAAAATTGCATTTATCCATAAATGCACATCACTCCAAAGGGTTTTGCTTGCATGTGTGCTACATAATAATTTTAAAATGATAAACATGTAAATAAAAATGGGAATCAGAAAGCCTAAATGCTATGAATGCATGTTTTATATGAACTGCTGTGTAAAAGATGATGCAATTCCATCAATGAGGCATCCGGTTGGTCCCAAATTCAACCAGTTTTATCTGCACTACTACACGTAATATGTATTTCAGGGTTACAATCTCGAGTTTTTTGAGATTTTTGACATCAGATCTCCCTGCATCAGAGCTATACCAGGCATTTGGTTTAGATGATTATCTGCCTGACATTTCTACTTGAGATGGACCGATCCGATATTACATATCGGTCCGATACTGACATAAATTACTGGATTGGATATCGGAGAGAAATAAAAAATGTAATCCGATCCATTAAATATCAAAAAAGCACCTCACAAAACTTGCGACATGGCGTAACTCTTCTCATAACCGTAGCACGTTGGTGTTCACGTGATAGAGCGGCTGTGTGTATTTGTACTCTCGCTACCAAACCAGCATTTCATCTCTGAGGAAGTGATCCCACAGAGAAGTAAAGCAAGTGTGTAAGTTCATCTCTGAATGTTTGTAAAGCATTCCCA